AAACTCACAGGAATATGTTTCAGCTATTAGAACAGAATGATAGAGTTTTTATAATACTAGTTTAAAAATGCACTTCAAAGATTGCAGTACTGTTGACTTCTCCCTCCACTGGACACCAACTAACTATTTAAGTTGATTTGCATACAAAGCAGAGCTTGCAACATGATAGCTATTCATAAAGGGTGTTTTTTTTTACTTTTCATATAATAGAGTAGTCACACAATGAGGCAGTTCATATTTGTCTCAGTGAATCATTAATTTTTGACAGACACCTGTACAAAATACTTGGACTAAAGCCAGCTAAAATTTTCTGTTATCTTGCATGTTTTGAATCTATTCACATCTAAATGCAGCACTTTTTTTTTGCAATGAGACATTTGTTTTTATACTAAAATATCTGAATTACTTTGAATAAAGCTGGAAATTATGTCCCTTAAAATAATTAAACAAATAAGGCACCAATGTTTTTGTAAGATATTTACATCTTTTAAGGACATTCGGTAGACTGATTCCCCACTGTTGGTTCAACCCCAAAACTTGTTTGTATTCAAAATTAATTATGACAATGCATATTTATATTGAAACAAACTATGATAAAGGGAATTATATTATATAACAAAGGGCAAGGTCACCAGAGTTCAACTATGTTTTATACTGGTCAGAATAATTGACGTATTTATTTTAAATGGGCAGTTTAATGGTCATTTTATTTTTCATTACATACATAACATGTCTAGTAATTTTGTTCATGTCACTAATATAACAGCCAAGAAAAAAGCCTGCTACCATGTGTGAGCTCAATACGTGTAGGAATTTTTTGTTTTCTTTTAAATGTGTTTGTGAGGACACCTAAGTGAACTTTGCCTGGACACCCAGAGAAATTTAATAGTAACACAGGTGTCAGTAAAACCCTTCCATCAATAAAAAATACTACTGTAAAAATACTAAAGGTTGGGCAGTGATCTTCTCAGTCTCAAAATGCAAAAATGTTGGGGTGGGCTATTCTGATGATGAAGTTGAAACCCTGAAATGAGAGGGATTCAGAATGAATGTTTGTGCTCAAATGAGGAGCAGAAGGCCAAAGGTGAGTTTAAATGGACAGATTTAGATGCACTCAAGAGTGGTCTATAAAAAGTTTAAAATGTGAATGAATGGAACTCAAAAGGGCAGTCAAATAATGACATTTCACTTACAGTTTCTGTGACAAAACACTGTGATTGGTTGGATAGAACAATTTTGTTAGTCAACAAACAACTAAATATGATTGA